CGTTTTTGTAGGCATTAAACTGCCAGAATGCATTGAACGTTCAGCGCCGCAACTTTGCAGATATTGTTTATGGTCAAACAGCAACATTACACACTAACTAACATTAAACAACGTTACGTTAAATCGCAATCAACCACCCCTTTAAACATCAGTGCTTCTTCTGTAAAGAGACACCATGGCACAATAGGCTGCCCAAAACTGTCCTGTCCATCTGCTTATACTGGAAAATGTGGTGCTATCAAATGAGTCACATGATACTGGGTATCCAGAATGAGGTAGTCAGGTGCAAGGAGTTGCATATATGTCTAAAGTAGGGCTGAACGATTAATTGCATTTGCGATAATATCGCGATATGAAAAAACGCGCTTTTTCAATCGCAGAGGCTGTGATTACACTCGGTCACGTGACATGCAAGAGTAAAGAGGTGTGTTCGACTTGAAGATCGATCGGTATATGACATCAAAGTACGGCGAGAGAAAGCATAAGGAGACGTCCGCTCTCTTATAGCTCTCGCAGTACTTTGATGACACACACCCATCGGTCTAAGCAGCGCTGCTTCAAGTCGAACGCATCTAAGCAGTCTTCAGACGAAGCATCAAGTTGGCATGCTACAGTGTTGCCAAGTCCGCGATTTGGGGAACCCCTCCAAAAAAATGTGTATTTTACCCCCTGGAACGCGACCGGTGGACCCCCCCTCGAAACGCGATTGGGCCATCAGCAGAAAAAGAAAAGAAATAAAACAGTAAACAGCCAAAGGACGTAACTTAGAATGGGAGATGGATCGGTTTGTGAAAGGGAAGAGAAAAGCCATAGATGAAGTTGCACAGACCCAGGCAGGTGCTGGTCATTTAAAAGCTAAATGCAGAAAATATGACGAGGCATATCTTGCTCTCGGCTTCACTCACTGTGTCTATACCAGATGCTACAGTTGTCGCGCCGCGCCGCAACAGCTCTACACTGTACGCGACAAAGCGACCATTGCAAATAATTTGAACTTTGTGTCAGTACGTCATAAATAGAACAAGGCATCAGTTTAATCTCGGGTTTTGTCGCGTCGCGCCCTATACAGCCTATGGTCGCGCCACGCCGCATCCAGTGTACACAGCGTCACTGATTATAATGGTTCTACTGTATTTTGCCGCTCGCGTCCGGTGTAGACATGGTGTTTTATGTCGTTGGTGAGGAGGAAAGCCTGTGTGTGTCCTATGCCTTTGCGGCCTGAAACCCACAAAAAATAAATAAATAACAGAGAGAATAATAACAATTATAATAGCAGTTATTCTCTCTAAGCTATTTTTCAATGTTTCAAGTGATGCAGGTGTTTTTTCCCCTGTGGGTTTTTTAAATTAAAAAAAGCATTAATTTTTCATAATGTTTTAAAAAATGTTTGAGAACCACTGGTCTAAAGTTAACAGACTGTTTAAAAAGTGCAGAGTGCACATGTTTACATATGTTTATTACAGTGACTCTGAATTACCTAAAGTAGTGTGGTAAAGCAACAGATTTGTTTTTATATTTCTGCAATCTACTTTAGTTTGTGTGATTTGTTACTGACTTTCATATTAATGTTTACACCAGGCTTATTTAAACATAATTATTACATGCTTACAAGGTTGGAAGTTCAACAAATCAGTCAATATACTACTGTGATTGTAGTTGTTAAATAAAAATGTCATTCATATCAATTCATGCATCACCTAATTTCATTGTAAAATATAGGCCTGACCTACAGAAAAGAACATTTATGTTTAATCTATCTAATATTGTGTTGGTCATACTATACAATGATTCATAGCTTGTCTTTGTTGAATAATACAGAACATAAAGAGCTTTAAAAAAATAATTGCATATTAAATCGCAATATTGGTAAAAAAAAAATTGCAATTAGATTATTTTCCAAAATCGTTCAGCCCTAGTCTAAAGGCATAAAAAAAATGAAAACAGGATAAAACAAGATCAGCTTCTAGCTTAAGGGCTAAAGTGCCTACATAATAAGGCATATTCATCTTTTTTCAGCATTCCTCTAAAAAGCAGCTGAAACACCTGGCAGGTGGCGTATGAATATGTCCTGTAAATCATCTGTCCACCCTTCTCTTGGCGTGGAAAACCTGACAGCATCGAGACAGGCTTCCTTATTTATGATTGACTGAACTAAAACACACAACACCTGTCTCAGAAAGCGCTGGTAAAATTTGCCCTTTGCTTCTAATCTCAGAGCAGTTTTTTTCGCTACCTCCCGAGTAACAGTTACGATTAGAACACAGGTGGTAGAAACCAGCCAGAGATCAGCACAAAAAGCCAATTTATGCCTTAAGCATCTGAGAGATCTGAAACACAGACACCTGCCTGATTCCTACACAGATGCTTCCCTATTCCTGGCACTATCCTTCAATTATGTGCAGTATGGTTTATTATATGCAAAATCATGCCATTGTCAAATGGAAAAGCACCTTTTGTGTGTTTTTCTGGTTCTGTTTGCTTGCGTGAGGGGTTTGTGTTAAGTTACTAAAGCACAAGAAAGGTGTTTACACACTGGTTACTGATTCAAAGCTCAGCTGAATGGGTCTCTATCTCCTCTATACAAGTAAACATAGACTTATATGTGCTTTATCACTCAAACACCTCGCAATGGCACACCTTGCTATGATTAAAAGCTTTGGGAACAGACTGAGGCATGTGGGAGTCATTGATTTTAAGTGTGCACAGTAGGGTTAGGGGTATGTTTCATTCTTCAGAACAATGAAGGTTTTTAGACAAAAACATGAAACGGGTGTGCAAGGGCAGAAGAGTGGAGATAGGATTAATTATTAACAATTATCAATTATTAATTCTGTGAAAATCTTAAGAAGTGCTAAAAGTGTTTTTATTGGTTGCCAAGAAAAACATTACTATTATTATTCATCATACTTTCCAGGGTTGATTACCGAGGGTCCATTTAAAAGATAAAATCACTAAAATCAGAACCTTAGTAACCACATATTAACGTGAATATGAGAATCAAACAGTTGTGTCTTCAGAAGACACTAATTTCTTCAGAAGATGCAATAATTTGTATTAGTATCTCAAATAGCAGTAAACTTTAACTAGAAGTAACATACCTTTGATGTTCACATGAAAACCTGGAAATAATGTTCACTAAAACAAGTAAATTGTATATACTTGAAGGTTTTCACCTCTAAAGATTTAAATAATAAACTCACAATAATACTTGTCCCTTTCCTACATTTGAAGGAGAAAAAAATATTACATGAGAAAGGCTTCCTGTTATGCTACCATGTTTACTTTCACCTATTTGAACTAGCTGCTATTTCAAGTTGCTACTCTTTTAAAGAGTCCTAAGTGGGACTGGCTCGCACCTACTAACACTGTCATTACACATCTCCAACCGTAGCTCTGGCTAACCGCAGCGTCCACCGCAGACCCACCGCTGTTTGTTTTCCTTTATTAATTTACCCAGGAAAACCTACTAAGATTAAAATCTCAGCTTCGCATGGATGACCTATTTGACATGGAAGTACATGTTGACCGAAGAAGCAGAGCACGGAGGCCCTCGGACACACAGGGGCCACGGTGGAGTGCCTGGGGGAACGCCGGCCACAGCTGCTGGAGAAAAGTTTAATAATGATACCCTCATTAACTCCCTATCACACATAGTGTTTACAGATGTAATGCGGGCTTACCCAAGGAATGAGGTACTTAACTGTGGGCTACGTACCAATTCACAACACTGTGCAACTTTAAAAAGATAGAGTTGACACAAAATACTTTGTGTACTTTTAATAAAGCATGCTCGAAAATGAATATTTTATAATTATTCTGCATGCAGCTTTTTTGACCTCAAATTAATTAAAAAAGACTAACTGGAATATTTGTCCTTTCAAAAAAAAAAAAAAACTATTTAAAATGAATTTTCACCATTTTTAACCCAAGATTCTAAAATGTTTAACTTAAAATGTTGACTTAAAAACTTCAGTTAAGCATGTCTGGGGTCATGTGACATACTTTTATGGAAATGGCAGAAAGGAAAAAGGGGGGGGGGGGGGATAAAAAATAAGCGAGAACCCTGTACATGTGTTCAAGTAAATGCCTGATGTGTTTTTTTCAATGACTCCAGTCATTTGTGATTATTGAAACGGTTTTTTTATATATATAATTTTGATTCAGACAGATTCACTAAGTTTGCTAATTAAAGAAGAACAATTCACTCACAAATCAAACACTCCTCTACACAAGTGTGCAAGAACTGATTACATATTTTAGAGCAGACAAGGAAAAAAAAGTATACTATATACACAAAAAAATCCATTATTTTTAATTAAATTAAACACCATTATTAAATTAATTTCCATGACTTTTCCAGGTCAAACTTCCATGATATTTCCAGGTTTTCCACGACTGTGGAAACCCTTCACTTCATACCAAAAACAACAGCCCAGATGTTCTGCTGACAGAATAACTGTGCAAAAGACAGAAAGCTTTAATTTGACTGGCTGTCTGTCCTCAGAAAACTTTTCTTGGGCTGACATGACTTTACATCACACAACTTTAGTCTTAAACAAGCCTTGAACTCGCTCATCTCCTGCTGTTTTAACCAGACGAGCAGTTCTACCAAGCAACACTAAAACGCTGTATTCCCTCTACAAAAGCCATCTCACACCACTGCGTCCATTTGACTCCCTGTCGCCGTGCCGCTTTACAGGATATTGAAGGTGAGCTACCACGCATCTGTGATACTGAGCCACGGTCCTTTCAAACAGAGGAAGTCAGCGAGCTGTAAGGTGTGAAGCGAGACTCCATTTACCACACTAAAGGCGATTGGCCAGCAATATGTCGCCTGTCTCTCGGTTTAAAACTCTCCTCCACGCCTCGCTGCCGACAGGCGTTTGGCTGGCAATATGTCGCCCGTCTCTCGGTTTAAACTCTCCTCCACGCCTCGCTGCCGCCTGCCTGGCCCCGTTGCCTCTCGCCCACTCATTACCCCTTTAATTCATGCCAATATGAAGCTGAATAGTTGCGGGAATAATTAAAGAATAATTAAGGGTTTTTTAATGATTTGATTCAGTGGGCCCCTTTCACGTTAACTGCGCGCCTTGAAAGGCATTCACCTTAGATTCCCATTATTGTGACCTTGGTTTTACTTAACAGCACAGAGAAGGGATAAAAAAGGGAAAATATATCAGCTGGGCTGTAATTAAGGGTTGGAGGGATGAAAAGGTTAACTCACACATACATAAGTGCACACGCATACATAAACATGCACTTGCTCTCGCTTTCCTGCGCGCGCAGTTTTTGTATGTAAAATCGTATTTGTAAGGGTATTAACATGCAGAAAAAGCCGAAGCCCACTCGTTCTCCCACACACTCTGGGATGAGATCAGGGACGGATTTCTGTACGTGTGTGTTGGCAGGCTCTCTGATTGCTCCATTTTCCGTGTGCGAAAGAGCGAGCATTAAAAGCCACTTCTCACGTGGTTCATCACCATTGCAAACCATTAAACCCATTGGCTTTTGCTAGAGATGTAAAACGGCCCATGAACAGTAACTATTTCAATTTCAATATCCTCGTTAAATATAGAATAAAAAAGAAAGAAATAAAGCGGGAGGAGGGGGACAAAGTGCTAAGTTTCTTTCTCAAACAGCTGAATTTTGATTTCTGTGAGCAAGCGACTCTTGATAAATTTGTCAGATCAGCTTGGCGCAATTTATACACGCCTAAAGCAGCCTCCTCCTCCTTACTACTAAATCAATTCTGCTCTCTGTCAAGATTATTTATGTAACAGAAAACCTTTTTCGTCTTTTAGCTGTGAAAAATAATCACACGTTCTCAATCAGGGAGGTTTGGGAGAGGTGCCTGACCTGATTTCTGCCCGAGCAGTGTGTGTGAAAAGGTCGAGGCTGCGCAGAATTTTGGGACGATGTTAAATATTTGAGAGACGTGAGAGAAATGGGATTGTTTGTTTCTTCATGTCTGCTCAGGGGCCGCACCTCAGGCCTCCAGGCGAAATCGCAGCAAGATAGCAGAGGCCGCGCAACTAATAAACCAAGAAAGAAAGAAGAGACAGCGACGGGAAGAGAGCTAGAAAAGTCTGGCTTAGCAGCTGGGTGAGAAACATTGTCCTTGCTTTAACATATCGCTCCCTGACCGCCGGCGAATCGACGTGTAGTGACACCAGCCAAAGGAGGCGTCGCCAACACTATGGGTATGCTAGTAAATGCCGCTTATAAACACCAGAGCCAAGTAACATCAAAGCCGGGGAAGATATCATTTCGGGCATGCCTGTGAGGATGCAATCAAAGTTACACAAAACGCAATTACATTACAAACTCTGACATCCACACACAGGACCTATTAACGGGGTTCGTACGTGAATGTGCATTTACTGTGCCATCCAACGGCACTCTATAAAAGCGCTGGCAACAGCTGTTGGAATGAAGGACGTCAGTCGGAGATTTCCGTCGATTTGGCAGGATTCTTCTATAAAACATGTAAGGCTTGTGCAGTTAGAGGTCTAGAGGGGAGAGATTAAGTTTTCTTAAGGAAGTATGGAACAAAGCGTTGTGTTTTTTATGTCTGAGTGCACGTATAATAAAACTGAAAAGGTTTAGAATGTTTGTTTGTTTAGTTTGTACTCCTTGGCGCCAACTTGATATTTCCCAATTAATGTCGAGCTTTGTATGGAAGCCAATTTCTGCCTCAGAGTAAAATAAAAAATAAATAAATAAATAAATACAAAGGTATTTGTGACACTTTTTCTTCATAGTGTCAACTATGACTCGTAAATGTGAATTTATACATTTACCTTTCAAAAGTTTGAGGTCAGTACAATTTTTTAAAAACACTTTTAATCAGCAAAGATGCATTAAACTGATCAAAAGTGACAGTAAAACAAGTAATAACATTGTTAAACAAAATTACATTTCAATTAAATGCTGTTCTTTTGAACTTTCTATACGTCAAAGAATCCTGAAAATTTTTTTTGCACAGTTTCCTCAAAAATATATGAATCAAACATTATTATATTAACATAGATATTAATTAATGAAATGTTTCTTGAGCACCAAATCAGCAAATTAGGATGATTTGTGAAGGATCATGAGACACTAAAGACTGGAGTAATGGCTGCTGAAAATTCAGATTTGCTATCACAGAAATAAATAACATTTAAAAATTTATTAAAATGACAGATATAGTATTGTATTAAAAACAGATATAGGGCTATTGAATTGTAATAATATTCCAAAATACCATTGTTTTACTGTATTTGTCATCAAATAAATTCAGCCTTGGTGAGTAATATATTTAAAATTATGTCAAACTGACCTACAGAAACAGGCTTTCATAGTTTTCTGTACTCCAAATAAACAAACAAATAAAGAAAGAAAGAAGGAAAGAAATTTGGTTAGCCTAAAATAAGTCATTAATAAATAAAAATAAACCAAATAATGTCCAATATTATGAAAATCCATGAAAATCTCCATGAAAGCTATCATATCATACACTCACTTTTGCTGGAAAATGATGGCATATGGTCTAAAACACAGACCCAATGCACACCTTTTAAAAAATTATGTAGCGAATACCGTTCAGTAATATTTTGATTAGCCAATAAAACTACCAATTGGTTTTGAAAAAATGTGCCTTTTGTGTGGTTTGTGTGGGCATGTCATGTCTGAGCAGCCCAGACATTCACAAATATCGTTTTAAGTTGTGTGTGTGGTGACTTGCGAGGCGCCCGTGTGTGTCAGTGTGTGTGTGTTACCTGTTGCAGCATAAGGGCTTGTTGCTGTTGGAGTAAAGCTTGGAGCTGAGGCGGAGAGAGGATCTGCTGCATCTGCTGAGGAGTTATCATCTGTGGGGTCATCATCGCCATGGATACCGGCACCTAATAAGAGCAAACAGACCAATAAATGATTGTGTGTGTATTTGATCGTCATATTTGGTAACAGTGGTTCTGTAACAGTGGCTCCCAGCTGGTGGGTCGTGACACTAAAATGTCTCAAAGATCTGTTCAGCAGAGAGAAACGATGCTAAATGCAAATTATACCATGCATGTGATAAAATAAACAGGCTTATCGACTGATAAGATGCACAATCTGGGCCCAAAAACAAAATCACTGCACTAAATGATAATTACAGTGAGATATGCACGTATCCCTAACTTTAACATGATACAAAGCCATTTCTGTTTCTCTAGCATCATAAAGGAATGTTGTACTTCACTTTAATTAACTCTTTATCATGTCATGCCAAAGAGAGTACACATAACATCAACTCTGTTGACACAATAGAGCTCCACACTGCTTGCATTGTAAAGCCCTGGCAGTTTTTCCAAAAGAGAGCGAGAAAGCGTGTTGATCAAATCTTCCCTTGAGTATGTAGTCTTTATCAGCCTGAAAGCACTTCAATAAACATAATATTATGATTCGTTATCTAGAGAATCACATCTTTGGCAAAAATAACAAACAGTCTGATAAGATAGCTATCAGCAGGAAACAACTTGCAACAGTCTAGAATTGAGAGCGCAATTTGCTAGACAAGAACGAGGCATAAAGATGGAAGGCGTGATTCTTATCTTATAACAAATATGCAGAAAAGGAGAGAAACGGAAAGAGAGCTGGGCTCAACAATAAGAATTTCCCTCTGCAGGCCCAGCCAGGGCCATTAGTTCAGATGTTTACTTGCCCTACCAACATTTTCAATGGCCATATTATTTTTAGCATAATATTTAATACTTAAATATTATCACTGATTTGTTTGATGCTTCCAAGGTTATTTAAATCATCAGAATTAATAACAATAATGTTCAAGACATCACACAAAACCAAATGCTTACGGTAAGTTTGAAAGGCATAAAAACACATACAGGTATATAGGCCTACATAACCAACAGATGCAGTGCTGGCCAAATATGGCCAGCGGCAGTCCATCAACTGTCCAGAAACTCTCATATTGGTCATAATCACCCTTACTCTGCGTGTGCGTGTGTGTAAAAGAGAAAAGGTTTGAAAAAGCCTGAAGGCAGGCCGCCAGTACATGCTTACATCCTTTAATGATGTAGGACCGGCCACTCTGTGAACTTATGGGCAGCTTTTGACGGGCCAGCAATTTCCACCAGTACAATTTGCGGCTGCTTCCTCGAATGCAACTAGCAATCTCCCACTGAGACACACACACACACACACACACACAGCCGCTCTGGGCAACGGCTGGCTTGAAGCTGACATACGAGCGCAAACTACAATCCCGCATAATACGTCCATTTATCTACATTTTCCACTCAAAGGGAATAAAAAAAAAGAGAAGCAACGCTGTGACGACTTCCCAGTCAACTGCCAGTCCGATCTGATATTTGCATTCATTTGTTTTCATGTAGCGCCTGAGCGCTCATATTTTCAGCAGTTTATCTATTCGGAGCTTGAGGGCTCGTGAGGAGGGGCGGAGGAAGGGGGGCAAGATAAGGGGAGGAAAGACGAAGAGAGAGAGCTGTCAGGCGCAAATTAAATCTGTAAAGGGCTGATTTGACTTTGTAAACGGTAAATACGGTAAATACGAACACCGGCTCTTTTTCCCGCCGGAAAGAGGGATGAAAGCTCACACTCGCGAGCCTCATGGTTGTCGTCGACTGTCCGATACTTTTGTATTGTAAACATCCCTATCACAATCAAACGAGCCATCCGTATCCTTCACTAGGAGAAGGGGGGAACTCTTCCCAGAATCCATGACAGAGACAAAGAGGAAAATTATGCACTCTTTTACCCTCTATGACTTGCGCGCCACAAGACAAACGCATTTTATGGGCTGGCGTGCCACTCACCTTGATTAATTATAGGTGTGACGGAGGTAAGGCTATGTTAAAGTATGTAAGCAAGCACAGACACATTTCAGCTGATGATATCATGCATCGGATGCCATCGAGGGTGAGAGTTAGAGCTTTCGGTCCTCTGCCAAAAATGAGGCACCCGCCTTTGATGACTTATATCAAGGGTTAAAACATCAAGGGTCTACAATTACAGCTTTGAAAGCGAGCATGTGCACCCAGAGAGGAAGAGGCATCTGAAACAAAGCCAGGGCGCCATCTGAGGCAAGAGCCCACAGCAGGCCAACCGGCCGGCCGGCCGACCAGGGAGGGAGGGATGTGCCGTATGCGTGTGTTGTTTGTGCATACAACGGGGGAGTCAGAATGTGACAAAAGAGGGGGCTCGGCGTGGCGGGCGCTTGGCGTCACGCCAATTTGCCACGTGCGGCTGCTTGTCACTGTGAAAGAGCGAAATGAAAACCTGTAATTAATTGCTCCTCTGCATCCCATTCTCCCGCAGTGACAACCCATACATTCTATTTTATACACACGTTCATTGACATTTTCAAGTTGCAGGCGTAATAATTACCAGAGTTATAACACCTTCTATTGCGGCGCGACAGTAGGATTGACGAGCCGCCTGAATGCTGAGTTGTTAAGGTTTGACGCCATTAATTGCCCCTATAATCTAATATCACAAAGGCGGGCCATTACACACCGTGAGCGGAGCGTGCAATTCGACACTACGGTTTCAGAGCAGTGCAGGAAAACAAAAGCGCGCCATTAGGGACTTGACGGCCGCTAACAAAAGCGCAGCACAATGCGGAATTATATTTTCATTCGGCTTTGTCTCTCGCCCATAAATGATTCCCCCCGTTCATTTGCAGCTGAATAGACCCAGTAATAGAGGAGCCCGAAATCCCAACCATTTGAAGTCAGGCATTTATTAAATGCATTTAATTTTTTCCTTCAATGTTTTTTCACTTTCTCTCTTTAAATTAACATGCAACGGGAAAGAAAGGCGAGGGAGATATTTTGCTCGATGAACAGAAGCACAGTGGCGAGCACCTTGCTGTGAATTATCAGGACTGAACACTCATTTACTATATTTTAAAAACAGAGACAAAAAGCATTCTGTCTGCATGTGATGAGAGTGAATAACAAGAGAGATTTGTTGTGGTGTGTTGCCAATAAAGGGCTAAAGATCACGTTCTGACCATAGGAAGAGAGCTTGGCCTATAGTAGAGCTGCCATAAAGGCTTAGAAATATATAGACGCATTATTTAGGAACTCAATGAATGTAATTTAGAAAAAAAAAAAATTCAATTTAATATAAAATATTTTTAAATAAAACACAGATCTATATTTTACACATGACCACCTCAGTCTCTCATTAGTATACATGCTCTCATGATATATGGATCATACTCACCCACCACGAGGCTTGTTGCCGGAGCTGTGTCCGGGGATTTTTTGACCGGACCATCAGTCAGGCGGTTACTATGATCTGGCCATAGAACCACCAAAACATCATGGGCCCAGTAGGAGACTGTTTGAAATTGTTTTACAGCTAACCTCGGTCAGCTGGAGATGGTGGTCATAAAAAGGGAATTAGAAAAAGGGGAGAACAGGGTAGATGTTGTACCCCCTGCGGGAGAGAGTGAATACCTAGGTATTACTCTGACCCGGACGAAAGCGCTGGCGCCTTGCCCAGGTCTCACCCCTCGGGTTTCGCCTGCCTCCCCTCGACCCACGATACTTCCTACCCCCACCCACAGGTGGAGGCGGGGCGCGAGTCGCGACACTAGCCCTCTGTGCCCGTCTCTGATCCTCAAACCGAGACGGGCCAGGACCCCTGGTTTGTTCGGGCTCAGACCTGGGCCTTCGTGGTATGAAGGACTTGAACGCTGCTGAGCGCGACTTCGCCTCCCTGAATTTGTCGACCACCGTCTCGACGGAGGTGCCAAACAGTTCAGAGGGCGAAACCGGGGCATCGAGAAGAAAGCCCCTTTCTTTCTTCCCGATGTCCGCTAAGTTCACCCACAACTGCCGCTCCGTCACCACCATAGCAGCCATCGCTCTGCCCATGGCAGAGGCTGCCTGCTTAGTAGCCCGGAGGGCCAAGTCTGTGGTGCGTCGCAGCTCAGCCGTTTCGCCAGAGGAAAGGCCCTGCCCCTCATCCAGGTCCTTCAGCAGGTCAGCCTGGTATGCCTGAAGCACCGCCATCGTGTGCAACGAAGCCACCGCCTGACCTGCCGCTGCGTATGCCTTGCCGTTCGTGCGAGATGTGGCTTGAAGGGGCACGGATGGCAAGGAGGGAGTTTTGAGGGATGACGTCTCCCCCAGAGAGAGATAGCTGGCTAGCGTCTCTTCCACAGGGGGCATCATTCCATAGCCGCTTTCGCGCATTGACTCGATGTTCGCATAACTCGTATGCTGAAACCGGTATACGCGTGAGGAAAACGGCCTCTCCCATTCCTTCTCGATCTCAGTGTGGAGATCAGGAAGGAAAGGAAGGCTCACTTGAGCTGGAGGTGTATGGCCAGAGAGATAACGCTCGTCGAGGCGACCTCGCGACGTCACCTCCTTGGCCCGTTTCCACGGTAATTCGAGCCTTGCCGTGGCTCGATCCATTACCTCTAACAGCTCATCATACGCAGGGCAGGTGGATTGGGAAAGCTCAGCCTCAGCTTCTTCACTCTCCACATCCATTTCCTGCTCTTGTTGGGCTGGGCCCAACTGAGCACTGGCCCCTGGATCAGATGATATTAGAGAGAGGATATCATCGTCCAGCGGCTGTCTCTCGCCCGACGCCGATGCGCTGAAGAGGGGAACCCCCCCTTCAGCCTCATCGGCTAGGTCCACCTGAGATCCCCACGAGCTCATTCTCCTCCGTGCCTCAGCAGCGGCGGGTCCTGAACCGCGGGAAACCGATGGTTGTCCCTCTCCCCTCGAGAAGAGAGACAAACGAGAGCGGAGCTTCTTCAGAGAAAAGCTCTCACAGTGCACACAGATTGCCCCCTCGAGGACATCGTGTGCGTGCTCCTCGCCCAAACAAACAACGCATAGATCGTGTGAATCATCGG